AATTTCTTTTTTTTTTTTTTTTTTTTTTTTTTTTTTTTTTGGTTTTTCGAGACAGGGTTTCTCTGTGGTTTTGGAGCCTGTCCTGGAACTAGCTCTGTAGACCAGGCTGGTCTCGAACTCACAGAGATCCGCCTGCCTCTGCCTCCCGAGTGCTGGGATTAAAGGCGTGCGCCACCACCGCCCGGCACAAACCTCAATTTCTCCAACAAACATGGGCAATCCTCACAAAGGGTAATGCTGGTGGGAAGCAGTCGGGCACAGAAGAACACAGATGATCTGTTTCCATTAACACAAAATGGAAGAGCAGGCAAAACTCAACGATGTATTAGAAATCAAAACAGTGGCTATCCTTCGTGATGAGCTGCCTGAGGTCATGAGGAAGCAGCTTGTCACCTTGGAGCCAGAATAAAAAAACCCCTCGGCAGCTGAGAAGCAAGAATCCCAACACAAAGACAGACACCTATGGTAAAGGCTGCCAAAGGCTGAGGCCTGAATGCATAGGGCACTGGGTAGGGCATCACCCTTCCCCAGCCACCGCCAAAGGCTCTCAAACAAGATTTCACCTTGTTTATGTGAAGACATCTTGCCTTCCTGCATCCCAGTGGACTAGACTTTAATCTTATCAACTGTAATCCTGTCAGGTGCCCCCCAGGAACCACACAGTGATAGGACAGAAACTGCAAACTCATCAAAATCCTAGCTATGACTTGTAAAAACAGTGAGCAGGGCTCTCTGCTCCCTGAAGCCACAGCCAGACCTGGGTGTGTCTCACTTTCCTGTTTCTCATGCCTCAGCCCATATAAAGCATCTTTAATAAAATATCCAAGGCTAGTCCTGAAATTATTTTTTGGTAACAAAACCACAAATGTTGATGTGAACCTGAGTTCAGGTCTCTAACTCTAGAATTCCTCGGGCTGCTGAGATGCAGTGGGAAGCTGTACCTCCTTTACCCCAAAATGCTCACAGAATGAGAAAGACTCAAGGTCATAGAGAAAGTCGTTTCTTATTCAAGGGCTGGTTCTGGTTATTAAAATTCATTGAACTATACATTTATAGTTTGCATGCCTTTATGTTTGCATCCCAAAGAGCAACTGTCACAAAATACCTGGGTACATAACTGTATATAGAGTAGAAAAATATATTTAACTTTCAAGTCTTGAGTCAGATAAAAATGGAATAGAACTCAATCCATCCAGGTGTGGTGGTACATGTACTTTAATCCCAGTATTTATGAATTTCCGCGAGGTTCACAACATAGTGAGGTTCTGCCTCAAAATAAAATAAAAACAAACAAAACCTCAATCAAGCAAAAAGTGGGGGGAGAGGAATGGAGACTAGCAATAAACAAGAATAAAGAACAGAAAAAAATAAGACAGTAGCAGTAAGCCCAAAATATCAACAGTCTAAATAAACACTGGTGGTTTAGAGCAGAGCCCAGGGAGTAAAGGCACCTGCAGCTAAGCCTGCTGACCCGAGTCATCTCCCTGGGACACGCGTGACAGAGGCAGGTAACTAACTCTCACTAGCTGTCCTCGGCTTCCACATGAGCATCCACATTCACACACACACACACACACACACACACACACACCTACGCACACAAATATGTACACATACAAAAGAAATGAATAAAATATAAGGCAAAAGCTGCCTATTGAAAAGTAAAAATATGTATCTGTCAAGATGGCTGTGTCAAGAGAGGAAGGACATGAGAGTCACAGGAGGGTAAAAGGAAAATTTATGGAAAACGGTTTGGTGAATTCCCAAAAAAACTTCAAAAAATCAATTAATGAATAAGCTAGTTATTCCAACTTCTACATGTATTCATTTCGCAAAAGAATAGAAAACAGATCCTTGAAGAGAGACCGTGCTCCCATGGTCACTGACAGTCCCTGAAATGTGAACGCAGCATGTATCCACCGACAAGAGCAGACACATGACCAGAAGATGAGTGCCGTGGGCATACACAGAGAACGGAACACTAGCCTGCAAAAGGAAGGAAACCGCGACAGGCACGTGATACAACATGGAGTCCTTAGGAAATCGTGTTAAAATAAAATACCCCTGTCCCTGAAAACCAGCTATCATGTGAAATACCGAAGCCTGGTCACAGAGACAGAAAGAGTGACAGTCCTGGGGTCTGGAGCTTCCAGTTTCATTTTCAAGATGGGTGGACGACAATGTCAACACTGGCAAAGCAGGTGCCTAAAAACAGGTTGAAGGTCACAAACTCCCAGTTCACTACACCACAAAATGTATCTTTTTATGCCGGGCGATAGTAGCGCACGCCTTTAATCCCAGCACTTGGGAGGCAGAGGCAGGCAGATCTCTGTGAGTTCAAGACCAGCCTGGTCTACAAGAACTAGTTCCAGGACAGGCTCCAAAACCACAGAGAAACCCTGTCTCGAAAAAGCAAAAAAAAAAAAAAAAAAAAGTATCTTTTTGCCTCCTCTCCCTTCACTGATATGGTAGCCTGGAGATCCCCAAATCTCCCAGCTACAAAATCTTTCAAAACTGGTAACACTATACACAGACAGAATATTGTAAACATAATAATAAATAAATATTAAAAAAAACTGGTAACACGTACACAAGCCGCACAAGCACACACACACACACTCGGAATTAATTTAAATAAAGAAACATGGGGAAACCCAAGTCCAAGAATACACACACAAAATAAAGGTATTCTCAGAGATCATCAACACAGTTTATCATGACTGAACGAGATTTTAAAAAGTATACTTAATGCTGGGCGATGGTGGCTGGGCGATGGTGGCGCACGCCTTTAATCCCAGCACTCGGGAGGCAGAGGCAGGCGGATCTCTGTGAGTTCGAGACCAGCCTGGTCTACAGAGCTAGTTCCAGGACAGGCTCCAAAGCCACAGAGAAACCCTGTCTCGAAAAACCAAAAAAAAAAAAAAAGACGCCTCAAAGCATTAGTATTAAGAAGAATAGTAACATCATATATACATGAGTTTACCTTCTCAAAGTGAATAGGTACCAGATGCTAACATGTATTGATTATCAGTAATGCTAACGGTTTCCTGAGACAATGAAGGGTATTAAAATGACTGAAGCAACAGGAAAGCTGTGAAAAATCAATGGTTATGGGTGGTATCAGCTTCCTAATGCACCCAGTGGCAGCCCAGGAGGTCTGCAGGCAGTTCATGCCAGACTTCAAGGAACAGATCATTCTTCTGTTCCAAAGAAAATGATAGGAAGTCCCCAGCCGGATCGGTGTGAACAGCACAAACATAATTACACGGCAGGAGGAACGTTCATAGCAATGCCACCTACCTACCCCTAAGGAAAATGCCAGCTTTTCGATCTAGCAAACAAACCAAACATGCATTCAAGGTGGTATTTTATTGTTGTTGGGGGGATGGATGTTGGGTTTTTTGTTTGGTTGTTATTGTCATTTTTTTTGAGACAGGATCTTGCCATGGAGCACAAGCTGGCCTCAAACTCATGCTGGGATTACAGGCATGAGCTACTATACATAGCTCCAAAGAGTCAGAATTACAGGGTTCTGGTGAGACTATCCAGCAGAATAATAATGCATTAGAGATTTTTTTAAGAAGGAAATCTTACATGGTCATATCAATACATGCTGTACAAAAGCATGGGATATGAATCAGGTATGAATAGAAAAACACTTTAATACAATAGAGTACACTTACAGAAAAGTCAGGGGAACACACTTCTCTAAAACCAAACAGGACAAAAAAAAAAATGTCCTATGGTGCTTCTTAAGAAACAAGAACGTTATCCACCTGGCGCATCCACACACCAGCTTTAAAACTAGCACTAAAACCGAAGCAGGCTTGAGAGAGGCCACCGTGCCAGCTCTAAAAATGCTCTTTGGTCAAGTGTGGTGGCTCACTCCTTCCAGCGCTCAGGAAGTGGAAGGAGGGAGCACTTTTAAGTCCAGTCTGGGCCACATTGCAATTCCAGACCAGTCAGAACTTCCTAGGGAGACACTTTCTCAAAAACAAAAACAAAATAAGCGCAGTGTGAGACCTAGGCCATCCAGAGATAATTAGCGAGACCCCGCATCAAAATAATCAACAAACAAACTTGATGACTTTGAGTTAATCATGCAAAACTATTTCCCTTAGACTAGGGAATTAGAATTGACAAACCTCTGCCCCCACCCTCCATCTCCGGAGGTCTTAAACGTTGAATAAACAGTGTTTGAAACCGGATAACCAAATCTTATGAAACCAAAAATTGATGAGAAGGGTTCGGTCGTGACTTCACTCAAAAACACTTTATCTCTTGCCTCCAGCCACCGCAGTTACTAATGGATACCCATGTCAACCAGTCCGACATAATTCATCCGATAGAGGGCAAGGAAGAGCACCTTCACGGGATTTTTTTTTTCAAAGCGTATACTGCTTATTATATAAACTTGCTTGTTGACTTATGAAGCTCCCACAAAAATCAAACTAATATATTCAGTCAAACTTGTTAAAAAAATAACCATATAAAACTAATTTTGTTCCGTGGGTATTAAGAAAAAGAGACCGGCACTGTTGCGCTCGGCCAGGCTGCATACTGCGGGGACACGCACCAGCATCCACACAGTTCCCTGCGCTCCCAGGCGTCCTAGAGACCCGCAGCCCGAGCTCTGGACAATCACCTGAGCAGGTCGCAGCGGCTCTATGGAAGCGCACTCGGGGGCACCAATGTCCTGCCGGCACGCACGCACTTGTCCCGGAGGCAGGGGACTTCCCAGGGCCACAGCTGCCCAAGCCACCTGGCCCCCGTACCAGGATACTGCGCCAAAACGGAAGGGAGGGCCGGCCACCTGCAGTCCCCACCTGCAGCGCGATCCCGGCGCTGCCCGCCACCCGGGTACCCAGGACCGCAGCGCGTCTTCCCAGAGGGGCACCCCGCATCTTCGAGCTAGGACTCCTGCACTCGCGTCTTGCCCGCTAGACCTGAGACAAGGCAGCTCAGGAATAGAGGAGCGGGCGGCCCATACCCCAACTCACCCGCTGTGGTTCACTCGCACCGGACTCTCGAGCCACCGCAGCCCACAGCTGTCGCGGCTATCCGCGCTCACCGATGCTACTGTGAAGGTCCCAGGGAGCCCGCCGGCGCATTCCTGATGGACCCCTCCAGGGGGAGCGCGCGTGCCGGCGCGAGGCTTCCTGGGAGATGTAGTCCAGAAGCCTCGGCGGTCCTCGGTGAGGGGGGGTCTTTCCTGCAGCATCCCATGTGTTCTCACCGGCTCAACCTCCACTGATGGACCCTCGATGATGGAGCATCTCATCAAGGGGAGGGGGGGCGGAGAGAGGAGAGAGAGAGAGAGCGAGAAAGAGAGGAAGAGGGAGGAGGGGGGAGGAGGGGGGAGGAGGGGGGAGGAGTGCGAGAGACCCTCTCCACACTTCAGACCATTGTTCTTAAAGCAGGGATTTGAACCAACACCATCAGCGTCTTATGGGAGCTTGATTAAAGAACAAAGTCTCAACCCCACAGTCTGTTAGGTTGTTTTTTTAGTTCGGGTCAATTTTTGCGGAGCTAGGAATGGAAACTAGGGCCTCATACATGCTAGATAGGCGGTCTATCCCTGAGCAACATTCACAGCTCTATTTGGTTTTATTTATTTATTGTATTTCTTTTTTTTTTTTAATCTGAGACTGGGATCCAGTAATTTGCTTTTTTAACTTACAAACCTTTGACATAGTTTTGAAGTAGACTGAAGTTTGAGAACTTGACTAGGCTTCCCTTGTTCCCTTCAAAGGACTCCATGACTCATTTGGCATTGACTACTCCCCACCACCTTCTTCCTCCCTTCCTCCCTCCCTCTCCTGCAGATACACTGCGGGGACCACTCATGTTCCAGTCCAAACCTCCCCCTCATTTTAGCCCTCCTCCCTCAACATCTCTAGGATGTCTCTGAGACCCTGGAATTGAACAAGGTCAAGACCACATAGAGGATTGTCACTTCCCTCAGCCTGCTTCTCCCGAGGTGGACCGCGTGTCCAGGAGATGAAGACATCTTCTGTATTTATTAACATAAAAGTCACCTAAGACTGTTAAATATGCATGGGCAGATGGCAGGCTTGTGAGTCATACTTGAGGTAGTGAGAACAAAACCCAGCCAAGTCTTTTCGGATGCGGAGGGGAGCAGACGAGAGGTCCTGGGACTAGGAAATCCTGTTGAAGGAGGGCTTTCTGTGTTGGGTTGGCCTTTGTTGGTGTTTTGCTTTGTTTTTATGATGAGAGCAACTCCAGCATGTTAAAATGCTTATGAAAAGAATCTCTTTGAAGGACAGTCCAAAAAGTTAACACTGCTTGACTCCCCAGCAGACTGTGCGTGGACAAGAAGGAAAAGATGAAGCTAGGTGTGGTGTCACACACCTTTAATCCCCTCACTCTGTGAGTTCAAGGTCATCCTGGTCTACAGAGTGAGTTCCAGGACAGCCAAGCTATTACACAGAGACACCCTGTTGTGGAATAGAATATTTGTTTAACTATATAGAGATGAGTTACTGTTTTACCTTGCCTACCTAAGCACTTGCTTGTTCTAATAAAAAGCTGAATGGCCAATAGTTACACAAAGGAGGGATAAGCAGGACTTGTGGGCAGAGGGAAAGGGGAGCCAGGCAGACAGGGTCTAGCCAGCTAGACATGGAGGAGGCAGGAAAGCAGGATGGACAGACAGTACGTAGTACACAATCTTCTGGGTTTTGTTGGTTGTTTTTAGCCCTGGACGGCCTGAAACTCACTAGCTCGAAGACCAGACTGTCCTTGAACTCACAGAGCTCAGTTTACCTCTGCTTCCCAAGAGCTAGGAGTAAAGGCAGTGCACCTCCATGCCCAGCACACACAAAGTTTTTTTGTAAAAATGGAAATAAAATAAACAGGAAGGAGACAGACAGTGAAAAAGCTTAATCTGAACACTCGCGAGGCAGAGGCAAATCTCTGTGAGTTCAAGGCCAGCCTGGTCTACAAGAGCTAGTTCCAGGACAGGCTCCAAAGCTACAAAGAAACCCTGTCTTTAAAAAAAAAAGTTCAGAACGCGGAGTCAAACATGGCTTCCTGTAAACCACAGTCTCTCTGGTGGGCTCTGTAGTATACAGAGACTCGGCTACCAGCTACTATAGCCATACCAAAGAGTTCCACAAGAGCCAGGAATGGAGTATAACAAAGGTTTATGTATTTGGGGATAAACTCACAGTAAGGCTAGCAATCCGCAGTCTGAGACCACACCTAAAATGGACCAGTATCTAAAAGGCTATTGGCTGTGGGCTGGAGACAACCACCAGCACCACGCACTAAGCTGAGCCACACGGCAGCTGATACAGCAGTCGAAGATTTGTCTCAGGCAATCAGGGAATGCTGCAGATGCTTAGTAAAGCCAGATCCAGACACAGAAAACCACTAAAAAAGGTATGATATGTTTTAAAATGTGTAGGTTTTTAAAAAATAAAGATGGGTATAAACAGTCATAAAAATAATAAGATAAAGTCTTTAAAGAGAAAATAATATAAGATGATAAGCCATGTAAAGATGGAAAATATACGGAGAGTCTGGATCCTATATGGTGTCTTGCTGATTTTGAATTTTTTGAATACTAATAAACAGAAAACAATAACTGCTGAGAGACATTGAATTGTGGAAGAGACTGCTGAATTAAACTAACCTAGATACTTTTAAAATGTCTTAACTTCAAATGAAAGTCAAAACTATGTTGCATTGGAGAAAAGGTTATGTTTTTGTTTCCACAGAAAACGAAAGGTTTTGAATTCATTCAAAGTTTATAGAGATCAGATTTGATCAGGGAGACCCCCCCTAAAAATCCTGACTACAGACAAGAAGAAACAAACCTAAAAACTATAAGACAAGTTGTGTCTATTTTACCTGCTCAAACATAAAACAAAAAAAAATCATCTTCGGCTGGCTTGTGTACAGCACACAGTACACACAGATATGTATGTTACCTGTGAAAGCTTGTGTGTTAACGCAGATATGTATGTTACCTGTGAAAGCTTGTGTGTTAATGCAGATATGTATGTTACCTGTGAAAGCTTGCGTGTTAATGCAGATATGTATGTTACCTGTGAAAGCTTGTGTGTTAACACAGATATGTATGTTACCTGTGAAAGCTTGCATGTTAATGCAGATATGTATGTTACCTGTGAAAGCTTGTGTGCTAACGCAGATACATATGTATGTTACCTTTGAAAGTGTGTGTGTTTTCAGAGCAAGGGGACCAGACACCAATGAAAATGGGTGGCCTGGATGATCCAGCCCTCAGAGTGCCTCTGCTACAGTTCCTCAGAGTTCTGCATCCAGAACAGGTTCCAGGCTGCTGGTTGAGATGATTGAGCCTCACAAATTACACTAGCCAGAACTTCAGATAATCCTCACACTGTACCATTGCATAGAGACGGGACAACAAATGTTATGGCTTGCTCTCCCAGGACTTGACCATTATCCCAATTTTCCCAGGGTCTTCTAAAGATGCCAATGCTCCCAAAACAGGAAGCAGTCTAGAGAACACAACATTTACATTCCCAAGAGGTGGGGGTGAATGGTTTTTGGTCTTTTGGTGGGTTATGGATGTTTGTCATCACTTAGAGTTATTGGCTACAAATTGTGACTGGTCATGGTCAGAGAGAAAGCTAAACAAAAGAGATTAGATTCAGAGTTCTCTTTCTGAAGGGAGAAGGGGATATAGCACAGAAATGATGGGATAAAAGGGTGGATTGTTGAATCCACTTTGGAACAACCACTAGTCTCAAGTATTTTACATTGGTATGGATCTTTCTCTATTGATACAAATTGAAGGTTATTTTTATTATACTGTATATATGTTCCTACTCTTGTTTAAGGTATTGTACCTATACATCTTATTTAACAATGGAATGTAAATATCTAGGCCTTGAAAGTTATTATTACAAACTATTTTGGATAATTAAGAAATATGGGTTAGTAGTCATCTAACAATCAAATTTGTGGCCACGTTAGGTATGTTTTCAAGGACAAACAAATATATTTTAAATAGACAGGTGGCCTTCATACACTTAAAGGACCTACTACAGAATACTGCACTTTAGATGTTTTAATAACAAAAGACTTTTTGTGACAGTGAGACATGTCTGTTCCTGGCAACACCAATCTACTTCATAAAAGGATGATGGGCATCAAAGAACCTCCATATGGAGTTTGCTTTCTTTGTGTCAAAAGCTAGCCATTGAGGCAAGAAACTGTCCTTACCTCAACTGCTGACAATATGCTGTCCAAACTGGACAAGAAAGACAAGAAAGAAAGTGACTATCAAACTTTTCCAAGATAGAGTAGGGCAGTCCTTTAAAATTCCCAGGTTCAAAGAAAAGTTTGTTAGATGGATACCCCAACATTACAAAGGAACAATGGGGTGACTGTCCAGGCAGTCAGATGTGTCTGTCATTTCATAGTTTAGGAAGTGGCTTGCTTTTCACTTCCTGTTCACTCACGTAATATTATATCCTTCTGGGTGCTCTGATGAAATTGAACACTAGATATAATTTTCTTAGTTGTGATAGAAAGTAAATTAGGTACTCACCAAGGTAGTACTGATAACAGTATTTTTTTCTGAGCTTGCCAAATGCAAATAGTCTGGACATTTTAAACGTAATTCTTACCTAATAATAGTCTCTATTGTATATAGTTTTACCATGTTAAAGTTAAAACCCTTTCCTTTTTATTTTGACAAAAAGGGGGAAAATGTTGCTAGATATTTGATTACACTGTATAAAGATATGTCACTGTGATTGTTCTAATAAGAAGCTAAATGGACAATAGCTAGGCAGGAGGTATAACAGGGACTTGCGGGCAGAGAAAGCTCTGGGAAAAAGAAAGGTGGAGTCACCAGCCAGATGGAAAGGAAGCAAGATGGGCATTACAGAGAAAAGGTAACCGAGCCACATAAAAGAACATAGTGTAATAAGCATTACAAATAGAGGATGCAAAGACATGGGACCTCTTCCATAGGGATGGGTTCTATTCACGGGGAGACAAAGCTCAGGATTAGGCCCTAAACCGTGCTCAGGATTTTGCGGGACTCGAAAGAAGAGCAAAAAGATCACTGGGTGAAAAGTGACT